AAAAAGACAGACAAATTTTTAATGTCCGAGATTCTCCATTGAGAGATATATTATAAACTGGGGAAAATAATTAATTCGCTAACGAGCCATCTTTAATTGCTTCTGATGACCTCTTGACAAATAAACATTTATTAGAAGCGCTATAACTTTCCAGGCCGGCCTCAAATTCATCATAAGATTAAAACTCGGCTCCTGCACAAAACGCCTTTTTGCCCGAAGTGATCCCGGTCTCTACCCAGCCTGAGGCGAGTCACGAGTGAGGCAGGACAGGAAGCCAGATTCACGAGTCACAGGAAGTCGGAAGTGATGTCATGCTGGACAAGAATCAGAGTCCGAATAACATTTTTTCATATTCGGACTCGAGTCCGAATAATCACTTCGATCTACTATTTACACAAGAAAGTGGCTATTCTCACCCGCCCGGAAGTTCTCGCAAGATCTACTCCTCCCCTCTTCTCTCTCTCTGTGTCTCTTTCTGAATACTGTCTATCGGTGTGGACGATCAAATTGACCAAAACAAAGTTAAAAAATGATGTTAAAACACAAAAGTAAATTAATTTGGTTGTCTACAAAGATGCTACGGCTATTTAACTTTTCGAATCGAGCCGAACTACGCGGGTCGCCATTTTGTATTGTTCTCTCTCTCACTCTCTCTCTCTCCCCTGCCCACAGACAAAATTGTACGCTTTTAGTAGGCTACAAGTACAGTTGTTTGTAATGGAACGTTTGTTCACAGCACAGAATTCTACAATTTTTCTCTTATCACAGTGTAGAATTCTGTGGTTTAGGGTGAACGCAAAATTTGTTGACACGCGCACCAGGTGAGAATAGCCACAAGACCCGCCTGCACTATTCTCACCCCCGGTGAGAATAGAGGTGGCCTTTACACAAACCCCTCAAAACACCAAACTGAAAAAAATCTGCAGGTCCTGCAGATTTCAGAAAGCGGACTCCGCTGTACTACAGTACTATGTACACTCCTGCCAGGTGGGTAGGCTACTAGATCTAGAATCTACATGTAACAAGAAGACTTACTCTTGCACTTGCAGATGCAAACGTGACAGTTTCTCCCTTTGCTTTGGCCTTGGCTTTTGGCTATGGTGAAGTCTTCTGAAAACCCGTCCTGAAGGCTTAGGCCTATACCTTACAATTAAACACAAAATATGTATACTACTAAATGAAAATGCTTAAAAAGAGTCGTCTTTTCAAGCTTTTTTGAACTATTGTTTGGGAAATTATCATGAATCATTGGAGATCAGATCATGGATGGACGGAATGACGGGAATGCTGTGACAAGTATTGATGTCCCACAGCACGGATTTTATCCGTATATAGATTCCACAACTTGCTCCATAGTGTGTGTAAGAATACAAACGATTAGACACCTTGGTCGACAAAGGAGACTAAAATGCAAACATAGATAGAAAGCCGTCAGTTAACTAGATCTAAATCTAAAGAAACGGTACGAAACACTGAGCCTAGAAGCTGATTCCAGTCAAGCCCAACAGAAGTAAACTTCCGTTTCGTTTCCCGTTCCGGAAGTTGTGCTTTATTTTGATATGAATCTGTGTCTGCCTACACCTTTTCGTTTAGCTTATATTTAAGGCTATGTACACTCATTAGCTTCTTACCGGGGAAAAAAACCCGAACACATTTACAGTTCAGCTTGTTGTAGAATCGTATTTCGAATCAAAATTTGTACAGCCCACCTTTAAACAGATACATGTATATGCACAAACAGACGTATTCGTACACACACATACTCGCACACACACCACTCCACTCACAGAGATATACACCACATACACACACACACACACACACACACACACACACACATACACACACTCGTACGCGTGCTCATGCACACACAATATAATACGTGCGTGCGCACTCATTCACACACATAACAAATATGTACAATCTGTAAAAATCAAATAGACATCTTCTAAAGTAAAAGTGTACGTATTTTCCATGTTCTGACAACTGATTCTAGGCTAACCCGAACACATTTACAGTTCAGCTTGTTGTAGAATCGTATTTCGAATCAAAATTTGTACAGCCCACCTTTAAACAGATACATGTATATGCACAAACAGACGTATTCGTACACACACATACTCGCACACACACCACTCCACTCACAGAGATATACACCACATACACACACACACACACACACACACATACACACACACACACACACACACATACACACACTCGTACGCGTGCTCATGCACACACAATATAATACGTGCGTGCGCACTCATTCACACACATAACAAATATGTACAATCTGTAAAAATCAAATAGACATCTTCTAAAGTAAAAGTGTACGTATTTTCCATGTTCTGACAACTGATTCTAGGCTAACTCAACCCATTTAATTCACCATTATTACATCGCGGTGTCTTTTGAAATGATAAGTGATTAATAAATCGGGGTGGATACATAAAATTTTAATGTATCTTAACTCGAAGGACGGGTGGTAATGTGGGTAAGTAATTAATTTCAGCGTGAGCAGGCAAGTGTACAACATGAGAAACTATTTTGCAGCATCTGAAACCGCCCGATACGGACAACGTCAAAAGATCAGTCAAGTTAAACGACTCATAGACACGATAATTTTCAAGTACACAATTAGTCGTTTAAATGGAGTCATCTTTTCAAATCAGCTCAAAGAACCACATATAGACTTTTTGCACATGCTTGACAAGCTCTTGTATTATAAACAAGGTTTCGTGTTATTTTAGAGAGGCTTGCTCAGATCGAAGTGCATGACTTCAGGCCTTATTGGATCAAAACTGGATTAAAATTAATATTGGGTCAGCA